TTCTGGGTATTTTTCCACAGAGACCGCACTTCCACCAAATTTGCAATTTCAGGACTTAGAGGGAGTTTCTAATTGGCTCAACACTGAAGGTAAAATAACACTTTTGTGCTCTTTTGGTTGTTTTAATCATGACTACAAAGTTTTCCAAAAGTTTTGCTTTCTTTCTCAGCCTCTGGACAGCGGTCCGCAGATGGCAGCGCCCACAGCAGTAGAGGACCTTTAGGTGTTCACAACTCCTGGTCAGATAAGCCCATGAGCCGAGGCGCGAACCTTCACCCCAACCTGCACCACCAGCTTCTTTCCAACTCCGACTCATACAGGGAGAACATCCCTGGATTAGAGTTCCAACCTCCTCCTGACAGAGAGTTAAAGCTCTCTTCAACCAAACCCAGTACAGATAAGCCGAAGAAAACGCTGAGAGACGTAATCCCGCCTCTGTGCGCCTCCCGACTGAAGCCGATCAGACAGAAGACCAAAAATGCTGTTGTAAGATTTTAATCTTTTTTTTTTTTCCTTTTTTTAAAATTTCTATGTGTGAACAGTGGATATATTTTTAGATATCTCATCTCTTTTTTCTTGTCTTCTATCCAGGTGAGCATTTTGGACACGGGTGAAGTTTGTATGGAGCTGTTAAAATGTCAGAGTGGTCAAGAAAGAGTCAAAGAAGTCCTCCGGATTTCCTGTGATGGCTCAATGGTACAGTTTCTGTAGGGCAATCAGCATTTATCATGCAGTTACTTAATAAATCTTTCCATGTTTGAAAAAAATCTTCAGTCTTGTAAGTTGTGGCTTATTATGACCATCTGCTGTAGGTGACGATATACCAGCCTAATGGTGGAAAGGGTTTTCCTGTGCTGGACTGCCCGCCAGCTCCTCCAGAAGATATTCTCATTTGTAGCTACGAGGATCTTCCAGGTATTCTGACGGATGCATCCCACCCATTAATATCAGATAATTTAAAAAAAAAAAGTGAAATAAAATTGTAATTGAGCTTTTTTTTCTTTCTTTTTTTGTCACAGAGAAATACTGGAAAAAGTACCAGTATGCCTCCAAGTTTGTTCAGCTTGTTAAATCCAAGACTCCTAAAGTGACCCTTTACACCAAGTATGCCAAGGTCATGCTGATGGAGAACTCTCCTAACGCGGACCTGGAAGTTTGCTTTTATGATGGTGAGTCCGAGGTGTTTGCTGAACGTCAGTAATGAGGTGGCTGAGCTGATGAGTCTAAATTAACGTGTAAAAACTGCATCGTGCAGGCGCAAAGACCCACAAGACGTCCGAACTTGTGCGAGTGGTGGAGAAGAGCGGGAAGTCGTACACTGTGAAGGGCGAGGCGGGGCTGAGCGGCCTGAGCCCGGAGTGCCGGAGGTATGTGGAGCTGTCGGACGAGGGCCACGCCATGTGTTTATCTCTCGAGGCCGCCATCACTGCAGAGGAGCAGCGCAGCACCAAGGACGTCCCTTTCTTCCCCATAACGATTGGCAGGTGACAGGAAAATTCTGGCCACCTCGTGACAGCTTTCCTTTCCTTTGTTTTGTTTTTGTTTTTTTTGTTATATTTCTCGTCTTGCGTGACAAATGTTTGTTTTCTTTTACTTCCCAGGAGACCCGTCAGCTCAGACGCTCCAGGCTCATCGTCTGCGCCCTCGCACCCGGTTCCTCCAGATACAGCATCACCTCCTAAACCTCCACAAATCACTCCTTCGGTAAGTTCTGACATTACAGGATAAAATGAAGAATAATGTGGATTTCCACGCCAGACGCGGAGACGTCTCAGGCAAAAACATGTCGTGTATGCAGTGTTCACTGGTTTCAGGCAGACGGATTCTTTCCACAGTACAACCAGAAGACTAATAGTGAAAAAATCAAAACATAAAAACAGCACCTGGAGTCATGTGTGGGTGTGCAGGCCGTGATGAGATCTGCATTTGATTTTTACTGATTTATTTCTAGATGATTTCCTACGATGGGTCTGACTTCACCACAGCCAGCCTGAGTAAGAAAAGCTCCCCAGTGCGACAGGACCTCATCCAGAGCACAGGAAAGGTGGTCAAGTCGATATTTGTGCCAAATGTTGGATGGGCGTCCCAGGTAATAGATGACTAATTAATATTTTAAGACTGGGAATGTGAATTGACACTTTGACAAAAACCAAATCCTTGTTTGTTTGTTTGTAGCTGACGAGCGGAGAGGTTTGGGTGCAGTTCAACGATGGTTCTCAGCTGGTGGTTCAGGCAGGAGTTTCCTGCATCACCTACACGTGTCCAGAAGGGAAGATCACCAGGTATGAAATACATTAGAAATGTCTTCTGTGTTCACTTTAAGAGCTGTTTTAAAAACTTTTGTGAGAGTAGAAGTTTTTAATATGGCCATTTCAGAAGCCCCATCCACCTGCTGTTCACATCTTTTGTTTGCATGTGGCAGCCAATCAGAAGAAAGTTTTCTTAAAGATAATGGAAATGGAGCTGAAGGGCTTGTTTCACACAGTTGATGAACTGAGTGCTGTAACAGACGCAGAGTGGAGGACAAAGTAGCCCGAGAATAAAAATACAGAGCTTGTTATTTGCTGGATCTTTGGCCAGCTTTCCACACAGAAGAAGCCGCAGTGTATTTGTATGGCACAAAAAGTAAGAAGTGGTGTGTTCTCTGCAGGTATAAGGAGAACGAGAAGTTGCCCGAGCACGTTAAGGAAAAGCTTCACTGTCTCTCGACCATTCTCGGCCTGTTGGCGAGCCCGGCAGCGCGTCACCTGCAGTCCCATTAACACCTTGTGTATAGAGGCCTGTCAAAAAGCTGGAAGTAGCATTAGAAACCGTCATTTCTCTTCTTGTAAATATCTTCTATTTGTGTTGTTTTTACATGTACAGAAGACTGAGATTATGAAAAGATATATTTTTATTTTAATAAGCAGCTATTTTGTATAGTGTCTACATTAGCCCTGTTGGAAAACTTAGTGTTTGTGTGTCTTGTTTTTTTACTGTTTCCTACTACTATGAAATGTGCGACCGATACACGCTGAAACAATAAAACATCTGGAGGCCGGGTGGAGGATCGCTGCAGTCTTCTCTTTGCACTCCGTATTATGACAGAACTGTGTATAAAAGAAATTAAAGTATTTATAGCCAGTTTATGGTTTCAGTAATAGAGAATTCATAAGCATAGTTATGGTAATATAACTGAAACTTAGCTGGCAGTTACCTCTCTTTATATCTAAAGGAGAAAAATGAGGTTAGTTACTCAAAGTAAAGTCTGTCACTTAAAATCAGTGGACCTGAAGTTTTAGAGCCCTGATAATTCACATGGTACAGGAAGAAAAGTAAATACAGATTTCTTTGGTGCTCAAATATTTGCATCCAGACGAGCTCCTTTTGGAAATGTGGTGCTAATTATTTCAGTCGATGTACGTGGAGTCCTGCTAGCGGTTAAACATAAATGGTATTCACCAAGACCTCTTACTAACTCGTTATTCTTGCATCATTCAAATTTTTCCAGACCAAAATACCACACAAACTGCTTTGGTTTTATTTGGTTAAGACATTTCATATAATACAAACCCATCACCGATTAGCTCAATGAAGCATCTTTATAGATTTTAAAGGATTTGGGAGCTAAGAGCTAAACTGCACTAATTTAATATCTAGGATACAGAGTAATAGAAAGTCATTAGAGTGGATGTTTTGTTTTGAGATAAAATAGTGTATTTTGGGTAAACTTTCAAGGATCATATTACTATTCTTTTGTCAACAACTGTCATTTATATAGAAGGAAGGCAAACCATTAAATATGTAAGTTATTTAAAAATAAAACTAAACTGTCGTCTACATGATGTAAATAGTGGAGTTGTACTTGTGGAGCCATTTTTCACTCTTAGTGATGGCTAAAAGCACTTCGCACTACAAGCTATACTCACACATTTTATGTACTGGAAGTGCTTTTTATCCATCCCATACACTCATACGCACATGGCTATATCAAAAAGATATCCTTGCGGACTCAAATCTCCGACTCTCTTATAAGCAGGTGAATCACTTGAGTATGATTGTTGTAAAACTTTAAGAAAAGAAAAAAACCGTGAAACACACCCAGAGTAGTTTCACATGTTTATTTTGCCCTGTTGAATTGGCCATTTAATTAAAAAAGTCACAAAATTGAGGATTCTTCTCGATTACAGAACCGATACAAAACGACATACTGTACGGATGTAAGCATAGGCGCATATACACGTACTGTACAAGACACCCAAGAAGTACACATTCAGGTGGAAGCCGGGAGCATGATGACACCATCTGGGTTGCAGAAATGACCAAGAGTGGGATTAACCATTTATATTTCCCATTTAGAAGCACAGTAAAGAACACGAGATAGGACACAGTATAGTGGCGTACACAGATACTCAGCCTTTTCCAATTTAAACAGGGACTCGACCACAGCTTCCTAGGTGAGGAAACACCTAGACTCATTTTAACCTGGTGTGGTACTTTTGAATTTATTGTTGCTTCACTACATTCTGAAGGCAAATCAAAACCAGGATACTCAGAAGGGTTGTTTACACATGTAGCGAAGGCCAACTTCCACTGTGCCGTTTGCTCTTCTTTTGTCCCAGAGAGATGCTGGTGAGGTGGCCGCAATGACACAAATATATCCGCTCACAGGGCAAGCAAGAGGACGGTGGGTTCCCTTGGATGCTGATGGAGGAAAGAAAACAGCAAGGGGAGCTCTCTGGGACAAGAAGAAACGCAGTAATCTGTATTTGCTGCAGGTTGGCACTCATTTCCCACTAGATGCTAGAGGGATGCAACAACCGCTCAGCTGATCTGTCCCTTTCAAGTCACCTGAACAGCAAGACCCAGAATTTTACCGTCCCTCTACGTAAATCCCCACTTTTTCAAAAACATCACTGCTTTCATTTATATAAAACATTTCCCCCATAAAATCTCAATAAAATAAAGTTGCTCTTAGTAGATGTAAGGACATTATAAGATTTTAACAAACTCGTTTAAAAAAAAAAAAAAAAAAAAAAAAAAAAAAAAAAAATCTCACAGTGAACACTGGGAACGACAGCTGGACCTCCACCTACTCCCTTCACTTAAAATGTGACAAATACAGCAGCTGGAACAGCAGACAGGTCAGAGAATAAGGTTTGAAGCACATGAGTGGATTGGACTGTTGGTTTAGTTAACTGGAAGAAGCGCTGAGAGACAAAGCTGAAAAAAATAACTCAATTATCTCAGACTGTTCAGATGAATACTCACTTTAGTTGGGTATTCTCACACACACACACACACACACACACACACACACACACACGATTTTCTTATTAATCCCAAGTGACAAGCTACAGCAGCCCCAAGTCTGTCCGTCGGTCAAGTTTGCCTCAGTTTGCTCGCGTGACAGATACAAGCAGTGAAGACACTTGGGGAGTCGGTTTAAGGAGACTACAACCCCCACTGGAATTCTGAAAAATCATGGAATTTCTCGGAAAACATCCACAGACAGATAACATGGGAATGTGATCCTCATCTTCCTGCACTGGAGCGACTCAAACTGCGACTCAAAAAGGATGTAGTTTGTTTATCTAACACACAGAAAAACACCCCCACCCACACACCATAACAATCATTACGAAAAGAAACTTGGTCACATGGTCATGGAGATTTTATCCTCTTAAGATTTGAAAAATAATGCTCTTTTTCTTTTCTCCTCCTACACTCAAATTATATTTAATGGCACTCGGGAAAGAAAAAAAACAAAACACTGCTCCCCTGTCTGTTTAAACCAATAAAACAATCTCATCACTCTCTGCAGTCGATTGGCCACAGTCACATAGCAACCTGGGATCTGTGGAGTAGTGTTCAAATGCCCAAACGCCTCCTCTCTCTACGCCCTTGCACGTAGCACTCAGTGGTATTGACCAGAATACAAACACACATCACTGGCACAGTTGGCCACAGTGTAAATGTGCCTGTGTGTAAGTGAGTGAGAGAGAGATACAAGGGATCATACATTGCACATTTAGTGGCACATCATTCTCCAGTCCTGATTCGGCCATTCTAATTAGTTACCTCTTCTGGACCCTTTCATCACAGAGACCTCACGCAAGAGAGAGAAAAATAAAATCAGCTATTAGACAAAAGTTCCCAAAGCTCACATTACAGTACTGTTAAAGTCTCATTAGACAAAACGAGGAGAGAAAAAAAGGCAGAGGGGAAAAAAAGCTTACATCCAATCACCATTATTTCCAATAACTATATAGGAAAAAGGTTTGTGTCTCGATTAGATATATTATCATCATTAACATCATATTTACTATGATTATTAATTATTATTATTATCACCACTGTCATCCGTTATTTGTTCAGGGATCAAATAGGGAGGTAAGGGGATGGGAGAGAAAGAAAATAAAAGAAAAAAAAGAAAGTCAGTCACTGGGAGGAAGCCTTGGTAGCTATCGTGGAGACACAGTGCTGCTGGAAGTTGGGTGACATAGCAGAGTTGCAGCCCAGTCTCTGCAGCTCTTTTCCCAGCATGCTGCAGCAGCCCGGGGCTGGCGGGGCAGTGTTGGGTACCGTGGTGCTCACCGGGAGGCTTTTGGGCTGTTCGCCGGCAGGAGGAAAGTCAGGGTTGTGGCTCTGAAGCACGCTGCTGATGTGGTTAAGGAGGTCGTTGAAAAACTCGGGGACGCCCTCGTAACCTGGAAAGAGAAGGCAATATTAAGAAGAAGAAAAGCAGTGACTTCTGGCTGTGTGCTAAATAAACAATATTCTACCTAAACTGTTATTATAAAGCTGCTCCTGGACACTAAAGGGAACATAAAAGAATTTTCCCTTTAGTGTCCAGAAGGACCCTGAACTTCATATTACATTAAAATAAGACTCATACTTAAAGAGGTTTGCAAAAACAGAAGTCGCCCCCTGCTGGCCATCAGAAAGAATGCAGGTTTAAGGTTTTCTGCACAAGCTTCATGCTCTCTTGTGGTTAATAAAAAGCAGAAATGCAGTTAGCAGAACCTGTAGCTTAAACAGTTTAGGATTACACAGGTGAAGGCTGCTCTAAGGATGGATTCATTATAACTCCCAGTAAAATCGGAGGTTTATTTTCCACTTAATGAGCAGATACTTTAAAGAAGATAATTTATGTGTGTGTGTCTGTGAGATTGAGGCTGTGCCTACCTGGGAATGCATTGATGTCAATGACGGCGTGCTGGCCTGTTTGATTGTTGATGATTACATCGATGCCAAACAGGGACACGCCCAGTGCTTCTCGCAATGACCTGGACAATTCTCTGATGACATCATCACTGGGTGGCTGAGACACTCCCTCCACGTTCTCTCTCTGGGTGAAACAAATATTAAAATGTGCATTAGCTACACAGCCTTTAAAAGTCAGGGTTGTGGCCCTGAAAAGAACAAAGACATTATAAAAGAAACGAGATGACATTTCATTCAGTGACATTTTGGACGTACCGAGGTCAAGTCTGAGGACGACTCTGGTTTGGAAACATTGTGGCTGTTGAAGAAAATGGCTCTCCTGTCTGAAGCAGAAACAAAGGGAAAGGGTGAGGCGGAATTTTAAAGAGTGTTGACTACACGAAACATAAGAAACTCCCAAAGAATTAGTTCCCAAATCACTTTTCCGACATCAATGGAAAATGTTCGCTCCATGTGTTCCTACCATACACTTTCATGTAGATCAAATAAAACATAAGAACTGGTGAAAAATATAACTTCATTATTGAGAAACCTATTTAAGCCTAAAAATGTGACAAAAAATGCTGACCCGTTGAGATTAGTTCCTCATCATGTCCAATTATACATGTTCTCTTCCTGTCCCCACAGTGACTTCTACATTTTTTAAGGCTTTCAATATCTGTGACTAAAGGTAGGATTAATTATTGATAATCATAAAGGCTGCTTTACTTAGCCTGAGGAACTGTAACCAATGCAAACAATCAGTTTAATATGTAGCTCATGATCCTGAACTAAACAGACTGTTTATGCAAGAAAACAACTTCAGAACAAGGCGGCTTTATTCCTGCAGCCTTATGTCAGACATCAGCTGTGGGTTTACCAGTCTGTTATTCAAATTTAAAAAATATCAGCAAGTTAGGGCATGAAGTGGAAGCAAATTATTAATTATTTTAAAAATGAACAACCTTGCCTGCCAGTTATACTGTTTGCTTATTTCCATGAACCCTCTGACAGTATGTTGTTTTGAATTTTCTCAATAGAGGATACACCAGACCGAAGGACCTTTTCTTAGTATTTAGATACTTTAAACACATCTTATTAAGGCTGCCATGCAAATGCTTCTGGGTGACTTCACTCAGTCGTTTCTCATTGGAAAGTTCCTATTTGACTGCAGTCCTGGTGTAACGGTGCAGCTGTCTAGATTTTCCATCATCTGCACTAGGTGGCGCCACAGTTCAACCATGGCCTTTAGTAAGTAAAACTCATGTTTTCTAAATTTGAATACCTGGTATTTAAAAAACAAACAAAACCCCCAAAAAAGAATGTAACTAAACCACACTGATGTAATTATTTTTCATCTTAAAAAGTCTTCAAGTCATCCAGGTCGTCGACTGTGAGCTGAAGACAACATCATATCCTGGCGTGCTCAGACCTCCACAAAGGATAAACCAAACAGCCACTTCATAAATGCATAGCCCAGCCACCTCAGCAGAACAAGACTCAGCTGTACACCTGCACCTAAAGGATCAACAATACTGTCGAGGATCCCAGTATTCACTTTGTTTTGAACAAAGATGGTTTGAAAGAGCAGTAAAGGAGGCCGTTTACATGCACTGTGAATGGACCACTTTCAAACGGGACAACCTCCACTAGGAGTAAAATGCCCAGGACTGTGCATGATTTGTTTTTAGAACTGAAGAAGCCTCTTGGATGAGAGGTGAACCCTAAAGAACTGCAGTCGGCCATTTTTTTAAGCTCTCAAGACAAGGCTCTCAGTCATACCTACAATGTGTTGAGTGTTCCATATGTTTACATCAATAGGTTACTCATTGGGCTCGGGTGAGGAATTTTCTTTGATAAATGTGACAGGAATGTATCACAACATTTTTACCTACGTTTTCTCTGATTTCTAACTTGTAATGATTAACATGAATCAGTGTTCGAGAGAAAGGAGTGGAGGGAAACTGTGTTCCATCACTGTCCAAATAAATCTGCCCTTCGGCACGGCGAAGGTCGCGGTAATGAAATGTTCGGCGGATTGGCTCATTCATTCCCTGGCTTGATGGGCAAAGCTTCACTTTAAGAAGGAAGGCTGACTGGAACAGCCCATCTCTCACTTTCCAAACACTAACCCATACTTCAACCTTTCAAAGCACCCTTTCCATCACTTTCTAGGTACAAAACTTAATGCATAGCTTCAGGCTGTGGGGGACAATGACCTAAGCGCTGTGCAGGTGTATTGCTGTGCTGTGGTGAGCTTTTCTGTTGTACCAGCATTCCAGGCTGAAACCAGCCATCCTGTCTGCATGGTTACACAAAGCGGACGACTACGCTGTCGGCAAAAATGATTTGCATGTGGGCCTCTGCTGTATCACATGCAAATACTGGAGTCGTTTGTGTCTGGGGATAACCCTTTATTCAAAGACACGTCATGGGTAAAGCTTTTGACATGTTTATGGAGAAAAACACTGCTGCTCTTGTCTAGTTTTGACAACATGTACCAACAGGGTATAACTCAATTGCACTCTGCTGCACCCCTTAAAAGGGCGAAAAGGTCCAATCACAGGGACCATAAAGCCATTTTATGAGCTCTTTTATTGGGTAATTTGGAGAAGCTGTGCAGATTGCACAGACTGACCAGTGTGCCTGTAAGCAGCGCTCGGACTTCCCCACCTGTCACTCTCCCTCTCACTGTGTGTCCGTTCTTAACCTTACCTGCAGGTCCAGCAGGGAAGTTCTTAAGGGAAGGTCTCTCCACTACAGTGTAGGAGTCTCCCACCACGAACACTTTGTAAAGCACTGCGTTATGGTTGATGAAACTCTGAATCACACAAGGAGGCTTCACATCCTTCAGGTCCTCTTCACTGAAGATAATGGCCATCTGTGGGCAGGAGGCCACACAATAAATGACAAAGAACTTGACAGGAAACATTGAGGTCAATCAGCAGTTAGAGGCAAGTTAAAATCTAACTTCATCCAGTGCTGCTTGTGCCGCTGAAATTGACACTCCTGGCAAGCTAGCCAAATAGACTTAATGCCTCCACAGTGTTATACCTACATGAGGTATAACACTATCAGATTTTGCTGTTTGGACTAGAGTTAAATGACAATCCTCTAACAGAACAGGTATCAGCTAAAGCAAACTTTTGAGGGTGTGAGTGACCTCTGAATCCTGCGGGCCTCTTACCTCATGGGAGTTGGTGCCATGAGCCACCCGTGTTTTGCAAACTGTGGAAGAAATGAAGACAAAGAAAAGCGCAGAGTTTACAGCAGAGCACAAACCCTTAAATTTTTTTGTTATATTTGAGATGATGATGAACAAAGAAACATGGCAACAGGTTTTTAAAAAAAAAAGTGTGGTGAGTAGAAGGAATTAAGATGACAACAGCGGGGAGCTACTTACTGAAGGGGAATGAGAGTCCTTGCCTCTTGATTTGCTCCAGCACGTCTGGGCTGCACTCAGTGTTGAGGACCATGAATGGAGGAGAGCAAATCCTCTCATCTATATATTTAAAAAATAAATAAATAAATAAATAAGAGAAAAAGGTGAAAGACTATATTAATGCTCAGGAGATGTGTACTCTTGGTTATTTTCACTACAGAAACTTATAAAAGTTATTGCTTTGTTTAATCCACAGTTCAAATTTGGAAGATTTAAGACATCAAACTCATTTTCTTCTGCAGTTTTAGCTTTAACATACAGTTTCAACATAACGTTTCAGCAACTCACATGACTAACAGTCATATGCTATGACCTGTAGTACTAGGTCAAAAAGTTCTTTTTATAACTCATCCCTGTGATGTGTTTACACAAGAAACACAGCAGAGGCCATCTGGTACTGTCCTTCTGCTCCTTACAAACACATACGTTAAATTAATCATAGCGACTACTTGCTTAACCTTAACCACCACCTTTTTGTTGTTGATCCCTTTAGGGATCACAGCAGTGACTCATTACTTCCTATTCCTAGTACAGTCTTCTGTCCTTCACTACATCCATGAATCCTCTCTGTGACATCCATCTTCAACATCCTTTGTTCAATAAATCCACCATCCCTTCTCATGTCCAAAAGACTTCTTTTATGTCCATAAAATATCTAAGTTCAGGTCACCACAAAAACCCACACAAATACAATGATGAAATATAGGAAAGCATCCAATTTAATGAGGAACTAAGGATAAACCAGCTGAGGACACGCAGAGTCATCGGGCACGTCACCTGATGGACTCACAGGCCTGACATTTCACAACAAACACACTTGCAGTTACAATGTCTTTAAAATTCTCCAGTATTAACCACAGAAATTCTGCTTCTTTTTCACCCATCTCTATATTTTTTGTCTGTTTACAAGTATTTTTTTCCCATCACATCCTGCAGCAGCAAGTTGGTCATTTCTGATAAGACTAAAAATTTTAAAAACATCCTGCAGCTTTGACAAGCGGCACCATATCAGGACTGGGGATGCATCTATATTAATGTTTTGTATTCTGTAATTTCCCCTCCGCAGTAGGTATATGGGGGCGATAAGGCGGACGGGTTGGAGATAACGCCACAGGAAATCATTGGCTGGGCCAAAACAACAGCTGGCAAAATGTTAATGACCAAAACACAATAGAAACATGCCAGTCTTTGTGTGCCGTGGGCCTCAGCAGTGGCAGGGCTCTCAGCTGATGCTAGTGCTGAGGTCAGGAGAATCTCATTTGCTTAAATTAAGTCCAGTGCAGAGTGCTGAACTCTGGGTGCAGTCAGAGTTTTACAGAAACCATGTACAAGTGGCCAAAAGGAACCACAGACACAACTTAAATGAAGTTGTTGGAAGCAGAATTATCATATTGATGTTCTATGCTTTCACCTACCATCAACAGTTCTTTCAATAAAAAGACAAAAACAAACCAACAGAGGTGCATGTGCGAACAAAAATGTCCACAGCTGGTTTGGCTCCCCCCAGTACAGAGCTCATGTGACGTTGGGCTAATATTCTGGTACACTCACTACGAGCATCTACTCAACTTAAAGCTACAGAAGTTCCCAGATGTGCAAACTGAAGGAGAGCATCCCCAGCTCTGAGCTACTCATGAATAATTTCAGGAGAATCAGGTCTGTATATTTTCCAAATTCCTAGTGTATGTCTGTCCAGATTTGACCTTTGACCTTTTGGAAATGAACGACAATTTATCATTTTATTCCGTCATCCATTTTTGGGATATTTCATTATTAGGAGCATAGCAGTAATGCTATTGAGAGGTCACGCTGACCTTTAAACCACCGACATGTTGACATTCAAGAGCCCCGACCCAGTTGATTGAGATGAAAAGAAACTGATATGGGGATAAACCTAAAACATAATGGTGCTGGTGCAGAGGCGTTATATCAACTGTTGCTGTGCGAGGTGATAACGAAGCATATAAAGATGCTTGGTGTTAAGGATCCTCTTATACTGTTATTTCACAGAAAATCAACAGGCAACAATTAAAATCATAAAATTGTAGCTAAAATAAGAGATTGTAAGAGATTCAGTGTAGTCTATAAACACGATAACTGTATAATTTTTCATTTCATCCATACAGGCATTTATTTTACTATATACAGTAGCTTCTTTAGCCAAAGAAAATGATGAAATAACCTTAATCTTACTGTACAAAACTAATATTGTAAACACACATTTCAGTTAAGACTGACAGTTATGTTGCTGCAACTTTAAACTGCTGAATTTTTGCAAGCAGTTTTTCTTTAAATGTTTTTTCTTTATAGTGCTGACATTTCAAGTGCAATAACTCTACCTTGAAATAAAGTGATTTACATAACCAGGCTCTACCAGTCTGATCCTATGACAGTTTTATCACATGCAGCGGTGATTCTGGTGAAATGTTAGCTACAGCTGTGAAAATAATGTCTTAATAACCCAGGAAAATCCTTTAGGTACCTCCATCTCGTGATGGGTCAGAGAAAAAGACATTAAACCTTCCCCTGCTCTGCTGCTGGCAAACATGCGTTTCCACACTATTTAGAAAACTAATTTTCAGGAATGCGTTTGATTTTTATGTCCAAAGAAAATAAATCTGGTTATTTAAAAAGACTTAACCACAAAGGGTTTATTTTTGGTTGCTTCAATACTCCTGTTCTCTTGTTCTGTGCACTACGACCTTTGCCTGTGAAGCTGGGACCATTCCAGGGCTGGCTTCGTACCCGCCAGTGCTGGGAGCAAGCCTGGAGGGTTACCCATGAGTCATCTGTGCACTGCCTACAACTGTGTTCCCTTTTAGTGATGTTATTTTATCAGGTCAAGAACAGCATCATAATAAAAAGAAAAGCCTGATGGTAAAAACATGCCCATTACATCACTGAGTTCCCAAAGATTGATGGTGTTACATTTGGCTAAACAAAAACCATCAAAAGCCCTGAGCCTTGTCAAATGAGAAAAGAAATTCAAGCTCCAAGTTCAGGTTTTACAATAAAAAGAGCAGAGACTGGTGGACACGAGTGAGTAGCCAAGTTTGTAACAGTGTGCATGCTTGGCTCTGGCTGACACTTTAGGGGGGAAGGAGGTGGAGGGGAGGATCAATCTCTGGCTCTGTCTAAACATTACATGCTTGCAGCAGACCCAACGGAGCCGAGGACAGTCTTTATGGGCCTCTACAATGGACAATGAGGTACTTTTTAAAGTGGGATTATACAGTTGCGAAGTCTTCAGGATCAGGACATCCCTTATATTAAGTCATTCGTCCACTAGATTACAACATAAACACACAGTCAAATAAACTCCAAATGCATAGGCCTTAACCGGTCACTCAAGAGGAAAGAAAATAATCAAAAGGCCCGTTTTAACACTTAAACTCAGACGACACTATTCTCTTGTTTGGGGATTTAGGTGTAGGGAACTGCAGAGAGCCAAGTTTCATTATACTTGCTAAACTGTGGTGCTGTTTAAGTGAAAGGCTAGACTCTCTTGTTGCTATTTAGAGCTTGTTTCCTAGAAACCCGAGCATCCTCTCTTTGCTGCTCTCCTCTTGTCCCTCCAAAGCAAAGCAGCAGGATTTTTTAATATTCTAAATTGAACTGGAAACACGGCTATGCCCTGAGAGCATTGCTTGTGTCAATGTCGTGCTCTAAGAGGCTTACGCTCCGATTAAAATTATGAGTCATTTATGAAAAAAGAAAAAAAAGAAAGAAAAAAGGAAAATGTGATTGTTTTCCCACAACATGCAAATCCAGGTATTATGTAATGATGATCAAAGCACAGTAGGGCAGGTGAACCTGACAGGCAGAAACTCAAGGTGGCACTCTTTGAGCTCACAACTGTTTCTCATTGTCATTCACAGAAATATCTATAATTAAATATTGATCACTTGCATAAACTGGCTCTGCTGGTCCTCACAGAGACATAGAATAATACTGCAGCACAGGGAGCACAACTGGATTGTTGTATAAATAGTTTCAGTTTAATTTCTGTTATCTTGAGCTGGAGAGGAAAATGTTTAAGACTAAGAGTTGGTGTGACAACGGTTTCTGTCTATAAAAAACAGACTAAGATATCAAAAACTCGTGTATACACAGGAACCAGCAGATTCCACTAAGTAACATAAACAGTTACCTTGGTCTGGCTCACATAGGAAACACAAAGCAACTCTGACAACAGATCGGAGCCAAATTTCCAGTGACGCTGATCCATTAGTGCTCGTGTGGCTCTTTTCTGGCTGCTTTACATTAAACACAGCATTAGGACGAGCTAAATCTTGCACTTAATTTTATTTTCATTTAAACAGTTTGGAGAAGAACAGCTAAATGCACTGTGACTGAGGCCATTTAATACTGAGAGGCCACTCGAGTGACAAAATAAGGTTTGCTTTTCCACAAGCGCACCTCAAGTGTTTCCTCCTATTGAGTACTATTCTGAGTCATACAGACTGAAACATGGCCGGCTCTCTATGGTCTTTAAGTACTTGGTTGCCTTGGCAGCTGCTTCAGGACTCCATGGTCTCTGCTGATAAGGAGGAGGAAGAGGCTGTGCCTAGGAAAGCAAGGCTCAAGAGGGGAGAAACAAAAAAAGGAAGACGAAGAAGAAAAAAGAAAAGAAAAACCCCAAACCCTAAAATCTCTTACACTATCCTCTTCTGTAACTTGGGGCGTATGCTGATAGTCTACAGTCTAGCATTACAACAGGTTTACTGTATCATTGCTTCTAAACTGACTAAATTGTCATGGATGCCTTGGCATGCAGGCCTAACTGTGAGCAGACAGCACCACTTACATTAATGGAAGTAGAATGGTGAAAGGAAAAAAAGAGCTTTGTAAAATGCAGCTAGTGAAGCATCTTCCTCTTCAAACCGATCACACACAGTGAGGCGGAGTGATGCATCTTAAACTCGCTGTTGCGTAACAGCAATCGTGTCTGTTTGGATAAAAAAGACATCGTCTTCTCGTATTTCTATTTTAGGAAAGCACCGACATGCTGATACAGCTCTGAGTCTTTGCTCTGACATCAGACTGCAGCTCATCACACACAAACTTGGTGAGATCATAATTATAAAGGTTTATTTTCTCCTGCCATGTACGGGTTTAAAGGAAATGTGGATGAGTCACAGGTGTGCTTACAGTGTGTGTCAGTAGGGAATGTCCCTCTGTAGCTAAAAGCCATCGTCTGCTGGTAAGTTTACTTGATCAGTGACAGGGGAAGGTGTTGCTCGAGTGACCTGAAGGCAAGTTCGGATCATGCTACGATAAAGCAGAGAGAAATAGAAAGGAGGAACTATGATATCAGCAAAGTGCTCAGCTCATGTTTATGTAAATATAAATGCGAACACTTAAAGTAACACAGTTCAAGTGAGAAGCTACAGCGCCTCCCTGCTCCCCCTTCCCTGGGATGTGAAGAGCACAGTCAGAGGTCCTAAAGGCAACCTCAACTTCCCTCTCAATAACATTAAACAGCAGGCCGTGGCTTTTAAATCAAAATCAAAGCCTATTTTTAGACAGCTTCTGTTTTCACATAGCGAGCTAGGAACAGAGACACTAATGGTGCTAGCCATCCACTTATCTCACAGTCGCCCGAGAACAAAGCTGAATCTTTAATGGCGAACGGTTTATACAAAGCAGGACATTCAGTTCACTCAAAGAACAGAACACATCGCCCAACTATCTGTCTTCTGTGAAAAGTTAACCCTAAAACACTAATGTTGGGTGATTTTCATAAATCTCACTTAGTGGTTGTGTCTTTTTGTTTATTTCTCCCACAGTTGTCAGTGATGCAGGGAGACCGTGTCTTCACTGGACAAGGCTCACATGTTACAGGAATGGTTCCCAGCTTTGTTATTCATTTGATTTGATTTTTCCCCATCATCCATTTCCTAATTTATCACTAATGTTAGTGCATTTTTATGAGCTCTCCCCAGTGATACTTCTTTCACTTTATGAGACGTTGTATAGGAGACATACGAGAAAAGTACCTCAATTTGTCATGTACTGTTGTACTTGAATATATTTTTATGACCAGTATGTTTTATTGTATATATTATATCTGGTACAAAAAAAACCCCCAAAAAACCCCAACAACTACCAGGTGTTAGTGACAGTGTCTAAAGTGTGAGTACAGGTTTTAATTAGTGAGCAAATCCTCTCCTTCACTGAAATACGCTGATTTGTTCCAAAATTTCTCCAATGCAACTGAGCCTCACACCAGTCAGTCTCACAAAGTTACCGACAAGACCTTACCTCGCATACAGCTTTCTAATCTGTGGATGAGCTGGTAGGATTTGCAGCGATCCAGCAGAGTTCGGATAGCTGGAAGTGGATCCAGGATGATAGTTTCAGGATGGGCATCAATGTAGTCCTTGAAACACAGATTTACAAACCTCTTAATTTTTACATTCAGAGAGCATTTACCATTATTATAAATGTTATTTTTCATGTATGTCCACACAGATGCAGTTCTCTGCATCATGACTAAACAGGTTTTGTATTGCTTACAGTAACATAACTATGGTCAAAGGTCATGACTTAAAAAGAAAATTGCCATTATTGGATATCTGAATCCAGATATCTGAATCCAAATATCCTGGCTATGATTTCCCAAAACTTCTCATTCTGTGTAAATAAACCGACTTTTTGGAAAAATAACTGATGACTTACTAATGGAAATGTTTGTGGCTTTTATTTATTTAAACGTAACTAATGTGCTAAAAGGGCAACCATCTGCCACGACACACACACACACACACACACACACACACACACACACACACACACACACACACACACACACACACACACACACACACGCGAAGGGTCAACATGCCTCAATCTGTTTTTGTGTGTAAGCTAGAGAGAGCACGAGATGTATGCCAGCGGGTCTTTATAGGTTACATCACTGCATCTCTGCATGACCTGCTGTTAGATCAGCATGAGGCTGGCCATTTTACATAACTGCAGTCCCCTTCTCTTCTCTCGCCTTCCCGGCTTTCCTCCGACTCAGTCCTCACACCACCTCTCTGTTCTCGGCCGCTCTCCATCATCTCCACACTTGATTTTCGGCTACATGGATCCCTTTGCCAAGAGTTCATTCCGAGCGATTTCAAACTGAGTCACAAACGCTGTCAGGTGGAGCTGGCTGGCCTACACATTACACAAACAGCCCGCCTGCTCACATCGCAACTCCGCTGTCACACACATTTAACATGAAATTAAACACATCGTGCAATATTAAACATCAAACACATGTACAGTGGAAATAAATGTCTATTTTTGAACAGAGTCTCAGCACACACACACACACAGTAAACCGACGCCTTTGCCTTGACATGGAGGACCCATCTGCAGGATTTGCTGGGATCTAACAGGCAACGCTAATCAAAGCCAGTCGACCTGTTATGTAAGTAAAATATGCTGCCACGGAAAAAATAAATAAATAATAAATCCAAACTAATCTTCCAGGAGTTCAGAGGAATACTGTGATAGGGACAGTCACGTGCTGAATTCTGCATCTCAGAAGAAGAAATGCAGTTAAACAGAGACAAGAGGGGGAGTTGAGAAAGAGATCAACGCTTCTTAGCAGGTGCTGGAGAGGAAAAGAGCCAGACGTATGTCAGCGTGGGTGTAAGAGAGGGCTGTTCGCATTTCAGAGCAGATCCGTTTCCAGAGAAGAATAAATGGGTTTGTCTTTGGGAATATGGTCAGAAGAGCATCTAATCTGTCCTGCTGATTGCAAGCCATGTCTGTGATGCCACAGTTGTCAAACCTGAAGCGATACATTATTTTTAGCATTTGTATTAGCCACAACTACAACCAGATGGGTGCGATTTACCACATCAGTTCAGCTTACATAAGATGTCAAGTACAGAGAAGCCCGGAAGACCTAAATTACGACTGTAGCGATCTACACCCATTTGTCAGCGAGGTAAACGAAAAAAAAGAAAATCTACAACAGATAAAAGCGCCTGGTAATTAGCTACAAATGCCATTTTATCTTCGCAGTTTAGTTGGAGAACGCAAATGATATTTGTCCAAGGTTTACTGTGAACACGGCTCGCACCTAGGGCCACTGAATCACCAGAGTGCATCTCAGGACGACATTTTGTTTTCATAAAGAGCTATTTTAGAGATGACGGTTTATTCTCTCCACGACACAACCGGGTTATTTATGATCACAGCTGTGTAACATTAGAATTACGCCAACACATATATTTCCAGTGGAAATGTAATCACAGATGACAGTTGTGTTCAGGTAAACACGCAGAACAAAAGAGGAGAAGACTCAGCCACAAGACTTGGCTGCTGATTTACCCGCTGATATTAAAGTCAACCACTAACTACAGTGGTAAAGTTTGAGTACTGACTAAAAGGAAGAAAATCCTGTAATAAAACACAAAACACACACACACACACACACACTTCCTCTGAACTGAAAAAACCCTACAAAGATGTTATCGATGCTTACAGGATGACATTTCTTTGTAATTCGTACAGCCAACTGAGAGGAGACCTTTAGCTTGAAGATCAACTGGCTGACTGAATAAACATTAAGGCAACGCAAAAAATACAGAAAAATTCCCGTCTCAATCTAAACGACTCATTCGAATGTGCACAGTTAAATTTTACTTAGTAAATAATGATATGAACACTACTAAGCATAGGGTATGCATTAAGATGAATGATGATTAAGAGGGCTGCCAGACGGCTACAGCTAACAGTAGTGGTAAATCAAAGTGACAAAATCTCTAAGCTTTAGCAAAAGGATGAATTATATATTTAAATAAATAAAAAGCCTTCAGAGAACTTATGAAAGGGTCACCAATTATCCACAGGGAGCCACAATATTTTTGTTATGTTTGGGGGAAAACCTAATAATAATTTTAAAACCATCCAACACTGGACATACTTAGCGTGACTCCTAATTCGGAGCAAGCTAATGGCTCATCTATTATCTTAATAGGACAACATGATGTTGTCCTATTAATATGTTGCTGTCAACATATTAATGCTGTCAATGAGCACAACTTGAAGCAATATTCATTATTCTGCAAAAACTTGAAAATTGCAATAATATTATAAAGTGAGTGTCGAATTTTTGTATAAACCTGCAGATATGCTTTTTAGCTCTGCAGAATGGCTTACATTTGGAGTCAGTCTCAAGTGGCCACTGTATGAGCTACAGTTTTAGTTTTCTTTCTGAGCCCTTGAGGTTTTCAGCTTGATGAAAACCAGCCACATTTTGCTCAGTACATGGTATTAGGCAGCTAAGAAGTTTTTGCTCTGATTGAACTTTTAAAGACAAAGGAGCAAATCCATGCCTTGCTTCTGGAAATTGACAAGATGTGAAAATGTAAGTCAAAAATTGCACTGGTTTGCACATCCACAGGAATCTAGAGCGCTTTTTATCATACGTAACTCACTAAATAACAAGTCTATATGTACACTGTCAAGCATCAAATGCAGGCCTGTGCTAATATCGACCAGGTTCTGCAGGATGTCAGCGATTGCTCCACTCTCACATCCTGTTTGCCCTTCTTAATTGAGCAGTCAGGGACATGGTGACAGAATTGCGTGACTCTGATCACGATTACAGCTCCTGAGTCACTAAGAGAGAGACGGAGGCATAGTGCAAGATAGTTTAATAAAATTCATTTTCACACCATCTGTACCACTGCCAGATTAATGAATGCATACACAGAGAAGAACAGCATGTTTCTAAAGTAGGTTTTCAGCTCCAAATTTGATGCGTTGAACATGAGATTTTTCTTAGTTCAGGAAGAACAAAAAAAGTTTCAGAGATAACATTAAGGATTTATGAGTGACCACGTGCTCAAATATAGCTGCTAATGCATGTATGTTCCTGTGATCTGCCTGGCTGATTCTTTGAACACATTACCTGATTCCTTGAACTGGGTCATTTACAATCGTAAATGTAAAACTCGGTCACCCATAAATGTTTATTGCCGGTACTAGGGCTGCAGTCAAAACCAATCAGTCAAAGCCAATCAGTGTCACAAGCCTTTTCTGCATTTGCGACATTAAAAAAAAAAAAAAAAAAAAAAAAGCTTTTTAAAGACCAGTTAATCTCAATATTGAATGTAGGCTGCGTAACCTGTGAAATTCTGTGTCAAATATTTTGAGTAACAAATTATTTTTTGGTTATTTAACAGCCAAAATAGAACAATAAATATTAATATTAGCCATGCAATTGCTTCAATAATAGCTTCATCTAGATATGGATCTATGAAATCAAGACAAAGAATAAGTATTAAACAATTTTACAACTTAGATTGGACCTGTTTGATATTTAATAAAACATAAAATTGATGGATGAATAAGAAGTTGGAGTATTTGTCATCCATCTATTAGTAGAGATTATTCATTATGGCACCTACACTATTACCATTCCCAAGGTTAAGGATGAACTTAAGACGGTTTCCCACACATACAGTGTATTCATTTTTCTTAATGTGTGTGTGTGTGTGTGTGTGTGTGTGTGTGTGTGTGTGTGTGTGTGTGTGTGTGTGTGTGATACTGTGTGTGTGTGTGTTGTGTGTGTGATCTATTTTCTTTAGGATTGTTGTGTATCCAAATGAACAGGCCAAAAGTGTGAATAGCATTCTCCAGGCCTTGTCCTCTCCTAAATTTTGGTTTTTCTATTTGTGAATACATGGGGAGGAGGGAGGGATAAGCAGGAAGACAGACCGATGCATACCTGTACTCTTTGTACCAACAGTACAGCCTGTGAATCATTCTGGTCAGCCTCAAGGATAAGGTCAGTCAGTTTGTGGATGATGACATCCAGGGGTCCATGGTCCTCTAGAGGCTGGCTGAGGTCCAGCTGAAGACAGAAGTGTAAAACAGGTCAAAGATTATTGTGCAGTCTGGGATATATTAGCCATTTTTGAAATGGATATCCATCAGCAACCATACACACACACACACACACACACAAAAAAACATTTTATCTTTATAAAACTCAGGTGTTAATATTAAAAAGTCACAACTGCTTTGAAAAATCTGTGACTTACTAACGCAATATTATAGATTCTTGGCCCATTAGATTTTAGTCAGGGTTTTAAGTGCTATGGTGTGGGGGTTATTTTTGTGTCTCTGGCTGCGGAGAAAGGAAGTGTAAAACCAACACTACAGCAGTTACAAATACTTTCACACCTGCAGTATGCCAGGTCAACATCAAGTCAATCCTGCAATTTGTTGAGTTCTTAAGTCACAGCGTCCTGCATTTCCTGCAAAATCTGCAAAGACCTACTGCTAGTAAATAAGTCATAGGATTTCTGCCTGACCTTTTGGGTTCCTTTTGTTTAACCCACCATTTATTCACATCAGTTACTTCTTGCATACACGCTAAACAGAAAATCTACATATTCATGTACTTGTAGATGCATCGCTTCAGGTATGAAGTGGTACTGGTAAAGACACATAGTTGCAATTAATGTACTCAAGAATCAGAATAATGGCTGTAGTGAACTAGCCTGTTATTCAAAATCACTCCTACCATATAGAACAAT